CTGACAACAAAATCTATGATTGCTATGTCTCTCTTTCGTGACAAAAATGTTGCAGGGTCAACAAAAATTGCTATTCTAACTCCATCAGAGTATCATTTGCTTTCTTAGTTGAATACAGTGTTATACATACTGTTATCTGCAGAAAGAAAAAAAACTCTATAGAGCAGGACAATTTTGAATTTTAAATACATTGAAAACTTGTTTATCAATTGAGCTGTGTCGGATAGAAATCGACCTTATTCAAGTCCACGTATACACATACATGTTTAAGACTTTGATTGATTTTGGACCATTCAAATACGAAATAAAAGATAAATTTTGGTCTGTTTTGTAGGGTTCTTACAATATCTCAATTTTCTTACAGTTACAGACTTTCCGTTTTCAAACCAATATAGGGTAACAAATATATTGATATTCATTTGCATAAGGTCGATTTCTATCAATTTATGAAGACTGTTACTATGTTACACAAACATTATATAGTCAATAAATTGAGTGTAAAGTATCATTGTGAGGTTTTATTGTCGAAATTTTTTTTAACATTTACAACAACCTTTCATAATCATATAATGGTTGAAACAAAACGGACCAATACACATAGTAAATGCATCAGTCAGTGATATCATGTTTATTTGTTTTTATTTAAATGTCTTTTGTTGGTGACAGTGGTTCATAGGTTTTTCTCTTTTCTCCTTTTTTATATAGATTAGACCGTTGGTTTTCCTGTTTGAATGGTTTACACTAGTCATTTTGGGGCCCTTTATAGCTTGCAGTTCGGTGTGAGCCAAGGCTCCGTGTTGAAGACCGTACTTTGACCTATCATTATTCTCTACTCTTTATATTTTTGGTCCATTTTTCTCTACTCTTTATATTTTTGGTCCATTTTTCTTTGTTCTTTATATTTTAGCACCCTGTTATTCCCTATTCTTTATTTTGTTATCCATTTTTCTTTGTTCTTTATATTTTTTGCCCATTATTCTCTATTCTGTTAACCCACATCCAGACCCTCTTATAAAGACCAACAACAGGAATCACATGAATATTGTAATACATTACATTTGGTGTAGCATTCTTCTTTTTTCATTGGCTATTATTTTTTAAGCATATTGACGCTTTGTTTCTATTTAAGGGGGCTCGCGGGTATAAAACTTTATTTTTTTTTAAAATAGGATTTCGCTATATTTTCCTATAAATGAACTTTATCATATACTTAATAGAAAAATAAAATAAAAAAATGGGGTCACCGTTTATTTAAGCTCACAATCTGTCTTTGAAAGAAGCATACATTTTTGTACAGGTACTTTTTTCTGTTAAACTAATAGGAGAAATAGAGGTAATATCGAAATAAAAAAAGAACTTAATTACAGAAATCGCTTCAATTTTACAATAGTTTAGTTTGAGTACAGCTTATTTGAAAAAAATAATAAAAAAATATAGGTCACCGATGAGTTAAATAAGATATTTCAATTTTAATGCAAAAAAATGGCATTTTTGCACCAAAGGGAGATAATTTGGAGCTTTTTCAATGACATATACATTTTAAAAGTCATCTTGGGCCAAAAAAAATTGATTTTTTTGGTTGATTTTTGTACCATATGATAGAGTAACAACTAATAAAGTAATAATTAAAATTTGTAATGAAAAAAAAAATGTTTAAATTTTTGCTGAAATTTTTGTACCCTCGAGCCTCCTTAAATATATATTGACGGTCAATATTAAATATCTTGAAAAATGCTATATTTCTATTAATATATATATATTGACGGTCAATATTTAAATCTTGAAAAAATGCTATGTTTCTATTTACATATATATATTGATGGCCAATATTAAAAATCTTGAAAAATATAATGTAAAATACATGGAAAATAAAAGAAGAATGAGTCTGAGGACCCAAATGCCCCTGCTGAAGCTTGCTTATAATATATGAAAATACTTTTGGGACGGACGGAAGGACGGATGGAAAGACAGAAGGAAGGACACAGGGTTCGACATTAACTTATAGTGCCCTATTACTTTTACTTGTCCGAAAGTGATATCTACATGCCCAAACTTTTACATGCCAGGGTTGATTGTTGTGCCATGATGGCAGCAACTAGACTTGACCACTGAGATACTATGAGGCATATATGAGCCAAGGAGGGAGGGAAAAGATCAAGGAATATACGGGAATTGGATCATTTACATAGAGATACTTATTTCATAATAATTTATCTAAGAAATGCCATTTCAAAAAACCCTTCTTAATAAACTGACAACAACTGACAAATTTGTTAAAGTTTAATTTCATTTTCTCTTTCAAGCTTTTATGTTTTCCATCTTCATGATCTTAGGGAAATACACATCCGATGTCAAATTCTAAAGTTAGAACAACGAAAAATAGACCTCCCCTTTCCATTGATTGGTGGGAATAACACGTGCGTCGGAAACGCCAGAGTGGTGTCCCGATTGATAACAATAATGACGAAGCAAAGCCGCGGCCCCTTGATTGGCCAATATTTTTAAACATGATCTATTTTTGGTAAAATGGGGAATTCAGTGCGAATAAATGACGAAATATACGCATTGAAGGGGGGTTAAGACCACTTTACTCGACCGTGCGGTGTTATCATTGAGTAATCTATGGACAAAACAACAGACACTACTGATTTTGTGAAATTTTAATCATATAACAGTTTTTTTTTCACTTGCCCGATCTGACAACCAAGATGATGTTTTTACTTGTCCGAATAAGGCATTAACTTGCCCCAGGCAATCGGACAACCGTAAGTGTCGGACCCTGGGACAGATTAAAGGACAGATGGTCAAGGGTAACACTTAATGCCCCCTTTGCCTAGCGGCAGGCAAAAAAACATTACAGTCTGTTTACATATGTAATATATTAATTAAGGACTTTCACTCAGTCAATACATTATATATGGATCAGTTAGATTATAATTGAACCTTGGACTTTGTCCTCAGTCAATATAATCTAAACAGGTCCATATATAGCGTATTGACCTCATAAAAAGTCCATAATTGATAAATATTCAATCGTTAAACATAAGCAAGGAAGATATTAATCTGAGAAACAAATTTGACAATAAATAAGAAGTATAGCATTATTAATTGATATTTAATAAATATTCATTAGAAAATGTGATGAACAATATACCAATAAAAAGAATACAGAAGAAAAAGGTATCTTACTAAAATTATCATGATTTTGAGACAAAAATGTTTAGAAGTAAATAATTTACAGAACTTCATGTTGCCGTTTATGATTAGCTCCTAAGATTTAGCTTAAAGCTTTAAATTATATTTCATATTTAAAGCTCATTCAGACTTAAAATTCAATATAGGAACAAACTTCTTTTTAAACAATATTTGATGTAATGTTCATAGTTAACAATGACATTAAACCTTCATAAGCCTGGTAATGTCATGGTGGGTCACATTAATCTACCAGGTTACTGTTTTTTTTCCAATAGGCAATGAACAATGTTTATAGCTTTGTTTGGATATACTTCATAAATTTGTAGAAAGTCTTATAAACTTCAATATAAAATTTATTGAACCATACCATTATATTTTATTCAGCTGATGTAGGTGTAATAACACCAAATCTTAGTACATCAATCCGGTTTCAAAAGAAAAAGGGTCGAACAAATATTCTCTTGAATTTGACAGTTGTAAGAAATTAACCCTGCATTTTATTGCAGAAAAAAAATTCTGAGTCATAAACATATAACTTGGCTGTTTAAAAGCACACTTTTTTTATTTGGTGTTTCTATAAAAGATTTTTAAAAATTGAGATGACATGGTTACTAAAGCTTGTTAACAGGAAAATAACGTGTGAAAAGTTGATTGGTTCACTTTCTGGTGATGGTTATTATCTTATATGCAATGAAATGTTATATGAAATTTTCACCACAGTACTGGACAGGATAAAACTTTACTCATGCCAAGTGTTTCTTTAAATTCAGCACAATTTTTTGGAAATTGCAATTTAACAAAGACTAAAAGGGGAAAAACAATGGTGGTATTACTCCTGTAGTGTTAATTATTGTTTATTTCAGGGACTAAACTTAACTGTTTTCCTCCAGGGGCCAGCTGGGCCCCTAAAATATTTTTCTCAGGGGCCCAGTTGAAATTTTTGGGCCCAACTTTGTAATATTTAAATTATTGCCACCAGAAATATATCATAAGATTTGACAATACTGATTTTAGTAAATTTCCTACCAAAATTGTCTCCCTTCAATTTCAACTTCGTTTTGACCTGTTGACATTTTGACAATATGGCTATTTCTATGAATCTTAAATGCTACTCCAAATCCAAGCCATCCTCTAATAGTGTTGATCAAAAATATTATTCAATTACTTTTTTATTTGAAGATTGGATATCAAACTAGATATTTTGATATTTATTTACAAGATTTTGCATTTTGTTTTTTCATTGAAGATTTTGTAAATAGCGATTTGTGGACAAGTTATCTTCTAATACGGGCTTGTAATGACTCCCTGGACAACTGGAATGCATCCCTTTAGCGATGCAGATTGAACAGTTTAGAAGAAAACACTAAACAATAATGAAATAATTGTAGAAGATTTAAAAGAGGGATAAGAACATGTGCTTAGAGAAGGGGGTATATGTCAAATCGTGACTTGGCATTGAAAACATACTTGTCCGACTGGATTTGGGTTATTAAAATGAACTTACTGGTTATGGGAAATTCTCTCTTTAATTTTCCCGCTTTGATTAAACAAGAAGTTTTCCGTTTAGGAATAGTTTTTGTTTATATTGCGGTGGAAATGGAAGAAATGGGATTCACTGCAAAATATTTTACAGTCGAAAACAAGGATATGCTCCTTTCATCTTTTTCTGTTTTTTAAGTTCCTTCACTTATAAACTATCACTTTATAATAATCTTTTAAAAAGCTTGGTATTTTGAAACTGAGCAGCCAACATCCTTAAATCTCTTTCCAACCTACAAATTATTTTTAACTATAATAGCTCTTACCAAGTTCTTCACTAGATACATCTGACAGTTGATCAGGAAGGATGTTCGTCATTTTCTTCCTTAAATCGGATTTCCCATCAACATCTTTGAGAAAATTTTCTTGGTCATTTTCATCTACATGTATTTCTAGATAACACTCCGCATCCATATCAAATCCATCTTGGTCCTGTGCTGGCTTGTCTTTGGAATCTTGGTCCAGAGTCACATGGTTTACATTTAGATCGCCTGGAGTGTCAATCATCTGAAGTACTGAGTCTGCATCTTTTTCACTGGCACTATCATTCAATCCTGTTTTAATCTCAGTATTGTCACATCTATCTATTTCATCTTCTTTTTCTGATTCATGACATTTTTCAACATTTTCATCTGTTTCCTCATCACGTTGGCCTTGAGACTGGTTCCCTTCACTATTCTGAATAGAGTTGTCAACAGAGGATTTAGTGCTGGTAACAGATGCATTGTCTAGGCTGGTTCCTTGTATATTTTTCTTACTTGATCTGGAACCAGACATATCTAAACTCAGAGAAGTGGTTTCTTTCATTTCACTTTCTGTGCTTGTAGCTGCTTTATCTGAAACAAATAATTGTATACTTAGATATACATATCAGATTCATTGGTCAATACATATATCATAAGATTTCTCATAGACACCATGTAGATAAAGTAACGGTCATCATAGTCTAAATAGACCTTATCCCTATTTAAAAATCTGTGATACTTGACCTGAGAATATGCGTCCCTTGTATTATTGACATCATACAACTATCACTCTTTTGTGGTGACAAACATTTTCTCTTGTGAAGTAAACATTTTATGGGAACATCTGTGAGGTCCAGTGATGGTGGACAAATAGCTATAGTTGTAAGTCCTAATTTCCAGAGGGCTATAGTAGTTCAAATTCACCAACTTCAGATCGCTGTTTTTACTGAGGAAATAATCAATATAAGGCCTGAATAAAATTTAAGTTTTCATGCTTCCCTACCTATCATAAATTTTTTTCATTCTTACGGTAACACTTTTATGGACATTTTTGTTAGCACTGTCAAGGTGCAGACATTTTAGTTTAAGCACTGTTGAGTCTTTAAAATTTGCATATAAATGTAGTCTATGTAAATTTTCTGAAAAAGATGAAATTATTTTACCTACCTTCCTATATAAAATAAAGATATGTGGTATGATTGCCAATGAGATAACTAAAGAGTCCAAATGGCGTGGATGTATGCAACTACAGGTCAATGTACGGTCTTCAAAAATTTGCAAAACCCATACTGAATAGTCAGTTATAAAAGACCCTTACATGACAAAATGTGAAACAATTCAACCAAACAAATATAACGTCCTGATTTATGACAAAACATATCTAAAAACAGTTTGATTGCAGGTGATGGAAGGTGATCTCACTCTGGTTTACGACCCTGACTTTAAATAAGGGTCTGGACGGGTTTACAGAATAGAGAAAAATGAGCAACAAATATAAAGAATAGAGATTAATTAGGGGTGCAAAAGTATAAGAATAACTGAGGAAAATACAAAAATTAGTTAATACAATAAATGTACTGATTATTGAAATGAATGCTGTACAGAATAAAGAAATCATCTAGTTACAGAAAATTTTGATTATAAAATCATTTTCCTGAGAATTTTACAGAATAGGAGTTATTTTTAAAGATAAAGGCAAAACATTGAACGAATACAGAAATTATTGACCCCTTATCCAGACTTTTATATCAAGTAATGATTAAACAGAAAGATATTTCAGAGTTCAACCTTCCACAATCACTGTAAAAGAGGGACGAAAGATACCAGAGGGACAGTCAAACTCATAGATCGAAAACAAACCGACAACGCCATGGCCAAAAATAAAAACACAAACAGACAAATAATAGTACAGATGACACAACATAGAAAACTAAAGACTAAGCAACACAAACCCCACCAAAAACTGGGGGTGATCTCAGGTGCTCCGGAAGGGTAAGCAGATCCTGCTCCACATGTGGCACCCGTAGTGTTGATTATGTTATTACAAATCCGGTAAATAGGTAAGGTGACTCGGTTGTTGAGTGGCCTAAGTAGTTTAACTACTGTTTCACCAGCCTGTCAACACTGAGGTACATTCAACTCCAATTTTAATTGACTAGGATTGTCAGTTTTCCTACCAAAGTTTGGTGGTTCTCTCCAGGCACTCCTGTTCCTCCACCAATAAATACTGAGTCAAGAAATAGCCACTAGTGCTGAAAGTGGCGTAAAGCACCAATCAATCAACAATCACTGTGGAAAAAATGTTCATTGCCATGAGTGATTCTTAGGTGAGTTATCCTGTGTGTACTTGCATAAAATGTAAGAAATAGGTATTTGATTTTGTATTGTATCTATGGATTATACATGTTATATACCACAGTCCATCAAACAGGGGAGATAACTTACTAGAATAAAAACTGGTTTATCTGGTCCTGTATGGAATTAATGCACAATATAGCTACAGTAGAACTAATGCAAGGGGAGATAAATTACCTGAACAAAAAGAGAAGAACTGGTTTATCTGAATCTGTATGGAAATAATGTACTATATAGCTACAGTAGAACTTAAATGCATGGGGAGATAAATTACCTGAACAAAAAGAGAAGAACTGGTTTAACTGATCTTGTATGGAATTAATGTACTATATATCTACAGTAGAACTAATGCAAGGGGAGATAAATTACCTGAACAAAAAGAGAAGAACTGGTTTATCTGATCCTGTATGGAATTAGTGTACTAAATAGCTACAGTAGAACTAATGCAAGGGGAGATTAATTACCTGAACAAAAAGAGAAGAACTGGTTTATCTGATCTGAATGGATTTGATGTATTCTATAGCTACAGTAGAACTAACGCAAGGAAGATAAATTACCTAAACAAAAAGAAAAGAACTGGCTTATCTGATCCTGTATGGAAATAATGTTCTATATAGCTACAGTAGAACTATTGAAGGGGAGATAACTTACCTGAACAAAAAGAAAAGAACTGGTTTATCTGATCCTGTATGGAGTTAATGTACTATATAGCTACAGTAGAACTATTGAAGGGGAGATAACTTACCTGAACAAAAAGAAAAGAACTGGTTTATCTGATCCTGTATGGAGTTAATGTACTCTATAGCTACCGTAGAACCATAACAGATAACATTGTTCTTAGGTATGTCTGCTATCACTGAGTACCAGTCTACACCTTCTTGTAAAACTAACTGAAATAATAAATAAAATTATATTCAATTAACTGCTAGTCTTCAAAGTTTTGTAAAATTAACTTTAATTATCAATTCCTATTTCGTTTATTCTTTATGTTGTGTGATATTTAGTTAATTTGGGTGTATTCATTATATCTCAATTATGAGGAAATAAAGACATGAATGAATGAATGAATGAATGAATGAATAATAAAAACTTGCATTTTATAAATTTGATAGCATTTTTTGTATACAGCATTTCCAGAAATCACAAAATTGATCTTGCATGTTTTTCTGTTGTTAACAAACACAATAATTAGTGCACTCATAAATTTCAAAATTTGCAGTAATAAATGAAAATAACAAATCAATCAAAGTGTAATAAAATGATTTTAATAGAGCAAATATTTCGAATTGTGTTTGTCTGTTGGTGTTTTATGATCCATGGAAGAACTGTGATTTGTATGGTAACTTTTAAAGTAAATTTAGATAAGAAAAGATTTGCAATGCTCCTTAAAAAATGAAATTGATTCTAGATGTAAAACATTAATGTTTATTCACTAAATTCACATATATATAAAATGTTACTATTTGCTTATAATAATATTATAATAAATTCTCTCAGTCATTAGATTTCTTTAGCATGAAAAAGGACAATTAAATGAGAACAGGGATTGCAGACAACAAGGGTTAATGCTGGAAACGATAAAAACAATAGAAAATAGAACTAGAGGCTCTCAAGAGCCTGTGTCGCTCATTTGGTCTATGTGCATATTCAACAAAGGACACTCTCCTACACTGTAGACAAGAATAAAATTCATGACAAAAATCTCTGTTTTGTTGATTTTGGATTGCTGATCATTTAGTCTGTTTAGTTTCTCTCTATCTTCTTTAGTTTTTTCTCAAAACACAAAAGAGGGTAAAAAAAATCCTCATCTACTATAATTTTTAAGATATAAGGCAAAAACGCAAAAAATATTGGCAAAACTCGTCATCAAAGGCAATAACTCTAAAAGGAGTTGACTGACAATTTTGACCATGTTGAATCTTTATGTAGAACTTGTCTTGCTGATCATTTTGGCATTTTAAAGTTTTTCTCTATCTATTATAGTTTTCAAGATAATAGGCAAAAATGAAAAAAAATGGTAAAATTTGTCATTTAATTAAGGGCAATAGCTCCTATAAGAAGTTGTTTGAAAATTTTGAGAGCTCAACATTCTAAACATTTGTGCACCTGTCAGATTTCCTCTATTTATTATGGTTTTCAAAATAATACACAAAACATTTTACACCTATGTTCTATTTTTAGCCATGTTGGTCATCTTGGTTGGCAGGCGATGTCATCAGACACATTTTTTAAACTAGATACCCCAATATTAATGATGATTGTGGCCAAGTTTGTTTAAATTTGGCCGAGTAATTTTACAGAGGAGAAATTTTTTGTAATAGTTAACGATGACGGACGACGGATGCCAAGTGATGAGAAAAGCTAAATTTGAGACTATAAAACAGAAAGGGCCTATACTGACCAACAAAAACTACCAACTTTACCAGAGGGAGTTGTAACTTTAGTTTTAGCATATTTACAAAATCACTTGAACTTCAAATTTAATTAAATGTGGGGTATAAATTCATGTTTTATAAAGTCAGTTTTCATAAAATTTCACTAGTTTTGTCCTTTGAAATGCGTTCTGTACAATACTTTGCCATTCAGGATAATTGAACTGTCTTCATGAAGAAGGGTTGAGTTTTATATTTGGATATATGCATGTCCTTAGTTACAAGAGCTTAGCAGCATATTTCTGTTTAGGAATCACAAATTGTATCAAACAGTTAAAACCTTATACTGGGTACGCATATTGTTTCCTTGTGTGGACAGAAGCAAAAATAAAAATCTAAAGCACTGATGTTTATCTAATGTCAACCAATTTTATTAATTTTTTTATTCCTAATGTATTTTATATAAAGTAATAATTATTCCAACGCTTCTTATGAGCTTTACTGCTTGGATTTTCAGGAAATTTTCACTAATGATCTGAGAAGTATTTGTGGTTTCTTATGACTACTGTCAAATAAGTTTTGAAACTGCAATTTTCAATATTTCATTATTTACTTTTTAAACTTTAGTTAAGATTTATAGATGTTGATGTCACAATACTATATAATATATACAAATAGTAACTTGTGACTTAAAAAAATTTTGTTCATGTTAAACTCATGTATTCCTGAAAACTAAATTTAAACAATACTATAAAAATGTATATCGAAAACTACAAGTAGTTCATAGTTTAATGATGCAAGTTTCATGAAAAGCTGTTTGGAAATGAGTACAAAGTATTTTTCTTTTTTATTTTTATAGAATAATTTAGAAAATATTGAAATAGGAATTACTTTTGTCCACATACTGTAGAAATGATACAAAGTCTAAAAGCTTTTTTTGTATTAAATTCAAGTTTTCACAAACCTTGGTATTAATTTCTGTATTCAGGTGATCATATAACAATGGAGCATTGAGGTTTCTGACATGGACGTTTGATGAGGTTGATATAAAATTTTCTAAAGCATCTGCTGATGTTCTCTTCATACTGATAGCAACAGACAACAAATTAAAGCATCTGAAATAAACAGAAAATTGATTAAAGTTCACACATATGACCATGTACAAAAAAAAAAGATGTGATATGACTGCCAATGAGACCGATCAGAAACCAAATGTAATAGAAGTTAGAAACTAAAAACTAAACAATTTTCAAAATCATTTTTTTTTTGTATTTTGAAATATAAATTGTATAGAATGCACTGTAAACCAACAAGCAAATGGAGATGAATCAGTAATAAGAAGTAGCATTACAGAGTTGTTGTCTTAAGCATACTGCCATGAGTGTCATTACTAATTCATAAAATCAGAAAACTGAAAGAGCTTTGAAGTGTTAATAATTACATTATATGTACTGGTGTCATATGGTATTTTGACCCCCCTGAATAGTGAACCCGGGGTCAATATACCATATGGGAAATTGACCCCGGGGTCATTATACCACATGGTATATTGACCCCGGGGTCATTTTTCCCATATGGTATTTTGAACCCCACCATGGAAAATTGAACCCCCCTGTTTTAGATAAATAGTATTGCAGATTATCTAATGTACAATATGTAGGCTATGATTTTTTTCTAAATTGGAGGTCTATAGTATGGGGTTCAATATACCATGGCAGAGGGGGGTCAAAATACCATGACTAAGTAAAATTTTCAAAACAGCTTTTCCAGCATGTTAAATACATACAAACTACTTATTTGAGTATTATTACTATGTAAAGGAGTTAGAACAGCTAGAATTTTTGAAATTAGAGGACTATAGTAGGGTGTTCAATATACAATGGAAGGGGGTCAAAATACCATGGCTAAGTAAAATTTTTAAAACATCTTTCCCAGCATGTTAAAATTTTACTTAGCCATGGTATTTTGCCCCCCCCCCCCTCCTGCCATGGTATATTGAACCCCCTACTATAGACCTCTAATCTCAAAAATTCTAGCTATTCTAACTCCTTTACATAGTAATAATACTCCAATAAGAAGTTGGTATGCATTTCACAAGCTTGAAAAGATGTTTGGAAAATTTTTCTTAGCCATGGTATTTTGACCCCCTCCCCTGGCCATAGTATTGATGCATGAACCCCCCACTTTACACCTCAAATTTCACAAATCATATCTATTCAAACTATTTTACATGGTTATACATGTAATGCTCTAACTAGTATTTTGGTGTATATGAAACATGTTGAAAAAGATTATTTAGCAATTTTTCTTAGATATGAATTCTTTTTACCCCCCTCCCCCCCCCCCCCCCCTGCCATGAACCCCATTGTCTATACACCTCTTATTTCAATAAAATACTCCGCTGGGCGCAGCTTGATACGACCGCAGAAGTTGAACACTGAACAGTTGGGGCAAGTATGGACACAACATTCAAACTTGATACAGCACTGAATTTGGATTGTGATTAAATATTTGACACAGCATAGGTTTCTGACACAGAATGAATGTGGTCTAAGAACTTAAAAAAAATTAATTTACCTATTCAAACCATATTATTATTATTTGCTTTTATATATAAATCAGAAATAACCAATTTAAAATGGAAAATTTTAAAGAAAAAAAAAGGAAAAAAAAATCCCTCCCCCAAATTTTTGAACCCCCTTATGATTCATCACCCCCAAACTCAATCTCAGCCTTCTTTTTGTGGTATGGTACCTTGCAGTACAATTTCAGAGAGATCCATACACTTGAACACAAGTTATTGTCTGGAAACTAGAAAAATGCTTGTTTTTAGGCCCCTTTTTGGCCCCAAATTCCTAAACGTTTAGTGCAATTACCCCCAAACTCAAACTATTCAAATTTTAAAGTAAATTTGGATTTTATTAGATAAATACTTACCATCATAAATTCTAAATTCTGAGTGTAACCCCAATTGCGTCATAGGTCAGATGGAAAATCCCGACTAAAAATAAACGTACTCTCACTGGTCCGGACATATACCCCTGTTTGCCCATATTCTCCCATTCAATTTCCTCAAGACAGAAACGTAGGGAAAGGGGATGAAGGGGAGGTGGGTGGGACCTATAATTTATGATGGTAAGTATTTATCTAATAAAATCCAAATTTACTTTAAAATTTGAATATTTTATAGCTATAAATACGTTACCATCATAAATTCTGAGTAACAGAATCTAACGTAAAGCTGAATCCCCTGTAACAGAAGAAACAGGAGGAAAGTTCAATCTTTGTGCTGAAACTATAGGTCCAAGAGAGTATAAACTCTCGGCAAAAGTAGCCATAGATTGGAGGTAATGAGATATAAAAGAGTTCTCATTTCTCCAGAAACCTGCAGACAGTACCTCTTCTAAAGATGCACTGTTAAACAGAGCCCAGGATGTAGAGATACCCCTAACATCATGAGCTTTAACATTAAAACTATTTAAAAGTTCTGACTTAGAAGAACCATAAGCTAAAGATATGCATTTGCATATCCAAGTAGAAATAGTTTTAACAGAAAGATCTGAGATTCCTTTTTTAATAGGAATAAAGAGTCTTGAGTTAGAAACAGAACGTAAACTACTCGTTCTATCCAGATAAATAGAAAGGATTCTTACTGGACATAAAAGTACAGAAATAGAATCGCTAGGGAGTGCAGGAATCACGACTGATTCTGCACCCTTATCTGGAATCTGATTCTTTGCCAAAAAAGCAGGATCCGTTAAAAGAGTAACAGAAGATTTATCCCTGTTAAATCGAAGGCAAGCATCAGAAATAGAGAAGGCATGGATTTCACTCCTTCTCCGTCCAGAAGCCAAAGCTAAAAGAAAACAGCATTTATAGGAAAGAAACCTTAAATCTATTGTTTCTGCTGGTTCAAAAGGAGGAAGTTTTAAAAAGGATAAAACTAGTCCAAGGTCCCACTTAGGAACTAAAGTTTTTTGTCTTGGTCTTTCAAGACTAAAACTACGAACCAAAAGAGAAATATGCTCATTGTTTCCAAAATCTGGGCCACCAGAAATATGAATAGTTCTTGAAATAGCTGATCTATATCCCTTAATAGTAGAGGGACATAATCCTTTGGATTCAAAAAGAAAAACTAGAAAGTCTGCTAATTGTTGTACAGTGACTTGGAAAGGATCAATTTCCCGCTCACTACACCAATCTGAGAAGATTGACCATTTTGCATCATAGACAATGCTAGTGGAGTCTCTGACAGACTTTGTGAGATGCTTGGTTGCTCCTTCAGAAAAACCTCTCTTTCTGAGGCTAACCCTGAGAGAAGCCAGGCGTGTAGATGAAGTTTTTCTGGATTTTGATAAAGAACCTTGCCCTTGATTTGAGACAGAAGGTCTGGTCTCAGAGGTAGAACTAGAGGACAAGCACATGATAGGCGCAGAAGGTCTGGAAACCAAGACTGTTTCGGCCATGCTGGAGCAATAACTATGATCTTGCAATTTTCCCCTGCTATTTTCTGAAGTACTGGGGAGAGAAACCTGAAAGGAGGGAAGGCGTACCCGAACATTCCTTTCCAAGATAGGCTCATTGCGTCTACCGCAAAAGATTTTGGATCTGGAACCGGAGACACAAATGTTAGAAGTTTGTGATTGAGACTGGTCGCAAACAGATCTATCTGAGGTGACCCCCAATGAAGAGTCACAGCTTTGAAAACTACTTGAAGTAGTTCCCACTCCGTGTTTACTGGAGCAAGGGATCTGGATAGAGTGTCGGCTAGAATATTGAGGTGCCCCGCAATATGTCTCACCACTAGATGAACCTGGAGTTGAAAACACAGAAGGAGAATGTCTCTGGCTATCTGATAAAGAGAAGGTGAATGAGTTCCTCCCTGATTCTTGAGATAAGCTACAACTGTTGTGTTGTCCGTGGCCAGAATGACAGACTGGTTCTTTAGAGACATTTGGAAATGATTCAGTGCAAACAGAACTGCTTTCATTTCCAATACATTGATATGCTCTTCTAAAAGATCTGGATTCCAGACTCCCGAGATTGTAAGCCCCTCCAGATATGCTCCCCAACCGAGGGTGGAGGCATCTGTGAATAATGTTAGACTGGGAACTTGAGGGGACAGACATAGGCCCCTCATTACATTTTCCCGTACTAACCACCATTGAAGGTGTGGAAATAAAGGCTGAGTGATTGGAATCAATGCTTCCCATTCTTGTGAAGCTGGAATCCATAACTTGTGCAGATAAAACTGAAGCGGACGAATGTGAAGTCGTCCCAATGGAATTACATCTGCCAGTGAGTTCAATAGACCCAGAAGTTGCAAGAATTGACGTGCTGTGACTGATTGAACCGTCAGGAATAAATGTATTTTCTGACATAGTTTTGTAAATTTTTCCTCTGGTGGGAGGACTAGGCCTACACTGGTTAGGAAATGTTCTCCCAGGAAAACAAAGTCTTGAGAAGGAATTATCTCTGACTTTTTCCAAGAGATTAGGAAGCCTAGGGACAGAAAACAATTGATGACCAAATCTGTCTGAACCCTCAATTTGATTGGGCAAAATTCCTTGAGAAGGGAATCGTCCAGGTAGGAATGAATCTGAATAGACAGGGAATGTAGGTGAGCTATAGCTGCCTGCATGATTTTGGTAAAAGCCAAAGGGGCTGTAGACAGGCCAAAAGGGAGAGCCTTGAACTGGAAAACTTTGTTGTTCCAAACGAAGCGAAGGTATTTCCTGTAAGTATGGGAAATGGGAATGTGGAAATAAGCATCTGAAAGATCCAGAGAAGTAGTCCACATTCCTGGAAGGATTGAAGCCCTGATTGATCTGTTGGTTTCCATTTTGAAATGGGGAACAATAAGAAAGTTGTTCAGAATAGATAGGTCTATGACCGGCCTCATTCCTCCAGTCTTCTTTGGAACCAGAAAAAGACGGGAATAAAATCCCGGAGACAGAGTTAAGAGCGACACCTCCTCTATTGCAGATTTTTGTAACATTGTGTCCACTTCTACTGATAGAAGTTGATACTTGACTGGGTCTTGAGTATGAGACAAACTTATCGGAACTGCAGACAGAGGAGGTGGGTTCTTGAACTGAAGTGTTAATCCCCCTCG